TCTCGACATGCGAAAGTGTTTCTCTATGTTTTCATCGGAGTTGTTCACTATACTGATCCATCCAAAGAGTTTTTAATGCAGTCAAATGTTTACAAACACAAGTGCAGCCGTTTAGAGGTCATTTCTGGTTAATGATGTCAGAATTTACCGGCATTTTGGGATGGATGTGTGAATGCTCTTTTCCGGAAAAATTCCGTAACGTCCTCGCCTGTGTGAACAGCGCTATTTTGAATATACCGGTAAAGTCGTTCCGGAAATTTTCCGGATATTTACCGGTATGACTGTGTGAAAGGGGCTATTATTAGTAACTGTAGTTGGTTTCTAAAACAAAATTTATCAGTGTTATTTTCATTCGCTCATATCTCAGCGCTTCACATTTTCTCGGTTGTAGCTCCTGTCATCTGAAGGCAAAAGGCATTGACTGAGTGATTGACAGCTGATATTAACCAATCCATTCGCGTTCAGTTCTAGAGCAGTGGGCCAATAAGAAGAGCACAAACGCGGGGCAGGCATTGCAGGCTTTTTTACCTTAGAAAATTCACATAACAACTGTTTTAATCTGTTCCTTCAATCATTGGCAAAGTTCCTGCTGTAGTATTTCTCACAAATGTTACGTGAGATCTACTTCATTCATGTCTGTCACTGTTTATCTGACGCAGCCGGAGATTGAAGCACACTCTGGCCCCGTTTACACTAGTGCGTTTTAGTTTTAAAACGGCGTTGTAGAATGAAAACGATCCGCGTCCACACTCGCGTTTTACCCAGCGTTTCTGAACTGCTCTCCGTCCACACCAAAACGCTGACAACACACATCACGTGACCACACACACACTCTCGGGCAAGCGCTCCAGCATTTCTACCCAGATGAGAGCTCTGCTTGTCGGACTGCTCATCACGCATCTCCCGCTGGATCTAATCTCACTATATTTGCTAAACGTGACATTTCATTCATGTTGTTGTCTTTATCTAACAACATAGGCCAATTCCCTGACTTTGGTCATTGGAATCTATTAAGTTACTTGTTCACGGGTAACATGTTTTGGTTAAGTGCAAAGAGAAGTTAATGATTAATCCAGGTACATTGACTGATCGCTTGCCTTTATTTCCTACAATGTATAAACTTATTGTATGTTATACTTTTATAATTGTCGATTATTAAAACTGATATTCAGCAGAAGAGAGGGTGCGTTTCGTATTTTCACTGAAAGTGAAAGGAGGCAGTTGTTATCGGCTCCGTTTTGTTATAAATATCCACACAGTGAAGATGACGCAAATATATGCAGCACGGCGCCTCAACATTTCTGCTGTCTGTTAAGTTTTCTAATATTAAAAAGAAAATAGGCAGTTCCTTAAATCATGTTTACATTTTATTGATGAGAAAGTGAAACAACGTAGCCAAGGTGATGTGAATGAAGTTATAAAGTACACTGTTCCCTTTGAAGATTGACGCGTGTCCTCTGTATGTTTTCCATATCAAACTGAGAAGGGGGAGACTGCAGCCTTGATCAAACTTGCGAAGTCTTAACTTACAAGAAGAGGATGCGAGACTGAACTGTGTGTGGGCTACTTAATATTGAGGAAAAGCCCCAATCAGATAGGCGAACGTTTGCAGCCCCGCCTCCGTTTTCAGATGTCTCCGTCTTTCCCCATCCACACTGAGACGGAGCAGCAGCGTTTTAGAATGAAAACGGCCTCTCCAGCGTTTTCAAAAAGCTCCGTTTTCGGCGCTCGAGAACTCCGGCGTAGTGTGGATGGATGGCGTAACCGTAGCAAAACTTATGCGTTTTCAAACTAAAACGCACTAGTGTAAACGGGGCCTCTGACCGGCACGTAGGAACAGTGGGCGGGGAGAACTAGCATTAGAGGCACAGGCAAAAAAAACAGCTTCATTGTAAAAAAATTCCAATATTCTGAAAGGTATAATAAATAATCTGATGGGTGTTTTGATGAAACTTTACGGATACATTCTGGAAACACAAAAGACCTATATTAAATCTTGAAAAACAGGTAAAATAGGTGCCCTTTAATCTAAAAGTTTTCAAAACTTTTTTTTTTTTTTTTGAGTGAATAAATGATAAACGATCACATTAATTTAAGACTTCCTGATCATAAGTTGTCCTGTTCCTCCATAAACCTCTGAAGGTGATTTTTAACACGCACCGAAAGCCAATGTGTGTTCTGATTGGCTGTGGTGCATCACCTCCTCTGGCTCTCATAATTGGCTCCCTGGAGAGTGATTGGCACTACTGTGACTTCATTTTCTCTAATTAGATATTGGCACGATATTGAGTTGTGTCAAATGACCAAGACGGCGGATCACTCAGTCTTTAAGGGCTTTATGACTCAATATAGTTTTGCTGATGAATAGATGTCACAGTCCAGGCTATTTCGGCACCCACCCTCCCTCGAGAGGATCCTAGACGTTATTGATTTGTTCAGCATTAAAATGGGTGGCCAAGAAAAGAAATTCACCTGCTGTCAGAAGATTTGTCGTCTTCTCAAGTGATGAGCTGAATGGAAACAGCATCTTTATTCTGCGGATTGTTGAGCTTTTTCAAGTTATATATGAAACCTCTTAAAGAATAAAGCCCTGTGTAATGATAAAGAGCTTCTTTGTTGTTTGCTGGAGACTATCGTGAAGTTGTTTTAGAAGAAAATACTGGAATAAGGATGAAGTTGGATGGAAGTCAGCTGACTGGCATAAGATCTGGGCAAAGAATAGTGAACTTGTGATGAAATATCACATGTTATCACCACTATGCTGTTGAAAAATGTCATTTAATTAGTAGTTGCCGATAGCTTGTGATCCACTTGTGATAGTTTTGGGTTTTTTTATTGCGTTATGGACCTCTTGTCCAATTTTTCATGTTTCAAATTCTGCTTGTAGTTTAACATTAAAGTGGACTGTTGTATTACTAAATTTGGATCAGTTTGAAACAAGATGTAATTGTATAATATACTTTGAAATGATACCACACAGTTAAAGAAAAAAGTACCGCCAGGTCTTTGCCTGGATTTTGAACCACTGTGGTCATAAAGGGATGGACATGGTCAGCAACAATACTCGGGTAGGCTGTGGCATTGGCACGATGCTGAATTGGTACTAATGGGTCCAAAGTGCGCCATGAAAATACCCCCTACACTATTACACCCCCACCCAGTAGAAAGAAGAAAATCCCAGTAGATCAGCAGTTTCTGAAATACTCAGACCAGCCTGTCTAGCACCAACAACCATGCCATGTTCAAAGTCACTTAAATCACTTTTTTTCCCTCATACTGATACTCGGTTTGAGCTGCAGCAGATCGTCTTGACCATGTCAACATGCCTAAATGCAATGAGTTGCTGCCATGTGATTGGCTGATTAGAAATGTGTGTTAACGAGCAGTTGGACAAGTGTACCTACTATAGTGACCAGTGAGTGTATATACCTAGTTAACCTGCAGTTGTACAGTATATAGGGGATGTCTATGCAGGCCTGGATTGGCTAATTGGGAGGACCTGGAGAATTCCAGGTGGGCCGGTCCAATTTTTGGCCGCATGGGCCGATGTCCCTAGCTGCTTGCACTCTCAGCAGTCACACTTTTTTAGTTTATTTATTTACTTGACCATGGCCTCACTCTTTCAATTCATTATTTTGCCTCAGCTCCGCTCTTTTTATTTATTTTCTCGCAGCCCTGTGAGCAAAATGCAGCCTGCAGGTTAATGATGATGTAACTGTCATTTGACCCCAAACAGCGGCAGCTTAGTGAATATAAGAATTAGAATAATTAATATTTATGAATATTACACCTGCTCAATCAAAATCAGATGATACACTACGTTAATAAATCTGACATAACTTGATAAGAAATCTAAAAAGCGGAGGAAAAGATTGTCGTTTTTGCAGATAAGTCTTGCAGATAACAGTGCAATATTTATTTTTTATTCCAAACGTTCCAGCGTAAAAGCGCTATTGTGGTCCAGTGGTCAGCACATTGCGTTCCGACCCGAGTTTGAACCTCACCTGAATAATTTCTTCATTCATTCATTTTTTTTTCTGCTTAGTCTCTTTATTAATCTGGGGTCGCCACAGCGGAATAAACCGCCAACCTATCCAGCAAGTTTTTACACAGCGGATGTCCTTCCAGCCGCAACCCATCTCTGGGAAACATCCACACACATTCACACACACACTCATACACTATGGACAATTTAGCCTACCCAATTCACCTGTACCAAATGTCTTCGCACTGTGGGGGAAACCCGAGCACCCAGAGGAAACCCACACAAATGCAGGGAGAACATGCAAACTCCACACAGAAATGCCAACTGAGCCGAGGCTCGAATCAGCAACCCAGCGACCTTCTTGCTGTGAGTCGACAGCACTACCTACTGCGCCACTGCCTCGCCTGAATAATTTTTATTTATTTTTTATTCTTATTGTTAAGACATATAAAACTGTTTGGATTGTTGAACATTTGAAGTTCTAAATCAGCTGTTTTCTTGAAAAAGAAGTGATAGTGTCATTGGAAACTAAATTGGAAATGATGTTATTTTAATATAGTCTGTCGTGAACTGAGGTGGGCAGGTCTAAGGCTTGAAACTCCAGGGCTGAAAAGGAAGTCCCACTCCGGCCCTGTGTCTGTGTACATATTTAACAAAGTGTATGTGTTGTACTTAATGTCTTTGATTGTCAGAATCATCTCTTCCCAGGTCTTGGATCTCATTAAGTGGCAGCACAGTCTTTATATTGTATTTGTGCTTTTGCTTGTAGCTTTTTTCTGTTTTATTTCTGTTTTATTTAACTGAACATGTCATTTAACAAACCATGACCCTGAAACCTTGATACAAACCAAACGGTGAGCAATATGTAGCATTATCTTCAATATTCAGTCCTCAAATATTCTGTTTCACTGAATAACATGATCCGCAAATTCCACTCCATCTTCCATTTCAAGATTTATTCTGATGAACAGCTATACTGCACCTATATGACTTTATTTTATTCTATTTCTCTTAGATAAACCCGAGAGCTACGATGTGTGGTATGAGAGCCGCTATGAGGAATGCGATAAAGAGGCCTGTCTCTCCTTCTCCAAGGACATTCTCTGCTCGCGGGTCACCGTGGACCACAACTATTACGCCGTGTGTCAGAACCTGCTCTCCAGATTCTCCAGCTGGCGGGGCAGCACTGGTGGTCTTCTCCACGACCCCCCTCCGGACGTGGTGAAAGACGGCCGCCTCATAGCACTGCTGGACGAGTGCACCAGGCCGCAGAAACGCTACGGCCGCTTCCAGGCGGCTAAAGAACTGCGCGAGTTCCTGACACAACTCACTCAGACGAGCAATGCTGACAGGTAGTGTTGAGAACGGAGGGGGGGGACACTGAACTTTTGCAGCACACCCCTCCCCCTCCAATAAACGAAAAAGACTATCATATTCTGGAACTCATTTGTACACCCTTAAGGGAGTCGCTGTTTTGTTGCCGCTATCAATCATGCCATTGTTGGCTCTGGTCCTGTTTGGGCTTAATAAAGAAGTTTGCACATCTACATGGATTCAAGGGTCGTGTGAGAATCAGCAGACTAGAGGCTCAACCTGCTGTGATCACGTGTGTATGTGTGTGTGTGTGTTCAAGTGTGGTGTGCGTATTTGTGGCGTGCATTTGTGTTTGCTTTTATGATGTGTGTGTGTGTGATTGCGTTTGTGGTGTGCGTGCATGACTTATGCGTGTGTGCGCGCGCATGTGGCATACACGTGTATGTGCGTTGAGTGCGTGCCTTGCGTGTGTGTTTGCGTGACATACGCGCGTGAGTGGCGTTTGTGTGTGTTTGCGTGCAAACTGCGTTGCGTGTTTGAGTGCATGGTGTGCATGCTTGCTTGTGGCGTCCATGCGTGCGTGGTGTACGCTCATGCTTGCGTGTGTGTGTGTTTGCGTGTGGTGTTTTTGTGGAGTACGTGTGTGTTTGCGTGTGTGGTGTGCGCATGTAGCATACCCTCGTGGCGTTTGTGCGTGGTTCACGCGAGTTTGCTTGTGGCGTGCGTGCGTGCGTGGTGTTAGTGTGTTTGCATGCATGTGTGTGTTTGCGTGTGGAGTGCGTGGCGTTCGTGTGTGTTTCAGTGTGTGGTGTGCACGTGTTGCGTGCGTGGTGTATGCACGTGTTTGCTTGTGGCGTGCGTGCATGTGGTGTGCGTGCACCGTGCGCGGCGTTCGTGTGTGTTTGCGGGTATGGCACTCTGTGTGCCATGCGTGCGTTGTGAGTTCGTGCATATCTGCGTGTGTGCGTGGCATAGTGTGTGTAGTGCGCATGCCTGGCATGTGTGTGTGACGTATTTGCGTGCCTATTGTGTGTGCAATATCTGCGTGGTGTTTGTGTGTGTGTGTGCCGTGTGTGTATTTGTGTGTGCGCGGCATGTGTGTATTTGTGTGTGTGCGTGGAAAGCGTGCGTGCCATACTTGTGTGTGGCAAGCGTGTGTGCCATGCATGTGTGGTATGTGTGTGGCATGTTGTGTGCATGCCTGGCATATGTGTGTGTGGTGTGCACACATGGCGTCTGTTGTATGTGTGCGTGGCATGTATGCGTGTGTGTGTGAGACGTGTGCCATGCCTGAATGGTGTTTGCGTGTGTGGCATGTGTTTGTGTCACATACGTGGTGTGTGCGCATGGTAAGCGTGTGTATGCATGTGTGGTGTGCGCGTGGCGTGTTACGTGCATGCGTGGCATACGCCTATGTGGTGTGTGTGCATGGCGTGTACCATGCCTGAGTGGTGTATGCGTGGTGTACGCGTATGCATGGTGTGTGTTTGTGTGTGTAGCGGGAGTGTGTGTGCATCTATCTAATATGTGATGCTTGACTGATCCCTCATGGCTGTTTTGATCCGGATCCTATAGTAAGGTTTCTAATTAATGTGTAAGTCAGGTGCTGTAAGTGTGCCGGGAGCAGGGGTTATCACTGAAGTTGCACAGGGTGATTTGTTCATGTTTGAGTGAATCTTAACAAAAACACGTCCAGGTTATATTTGATTAAAATCATACTTTAAATTATGTATACACATACATATACGCACACACATACAGGGTTTGTATCAAGGTAATTACATGCATACATCCAATGTAAATGTAAGTAATTTCTGTTTATTTACGGTTATGAATTGCATTATGGGATGTTGATCTTTCCTCTGTCGACTCTTATTGTTGAAAACTCAACTCCACAGTTGTACAAAGTGACTTTTATTGGCATTTTAGTAGTTTATAAAAGTGTTTCTCAACCACGTTCCAGGAGGCCCACCAGCTGTGCACATTTTCCATGTCTCCTTAACCCAGGGGTGTCCAAACTCGGTCCTGGAGGGTCGGTGTCCTGCAGATTTTGGCTCCAACTTGTCTCAACACACCTGCATGTATGTTTCTAGAAAGCCTAGTAAGAGCTTGATTAGCTAGCCCAGGTGTGTCTGATTGGGGTTGGAACTAAACTTTGCAGGACACCGGCACTCCAGGACCGAGTGTGGACACCACTGCCTTAACCAAACACATCTGATTCAAATCATTAGCTCATTAGCAGAGACTGAAAGACCTGTAAAAGTTGACACACAAAGGAGGTGTCCAAAACATGCGCTGCGTCCGAAACCACATACTTCCATACTATACAGTACGCTAAAATCAGTATGCGAGCCGAGTAGTATGTCCGAATTCATAGAATTCGAAAATTAGTATGCGAGAAATACCCTGATGACTTACTACTTACGGCGAGATTCTGGAGTGCGCATTTCATGAACACTGCGTTATCCCATGATTCCCCGCCAAAGATTTCATGAATGGGAGTGAACTGATGCAATTGACGCAGGTAGGTCACGTGACCATGACAAAATGGCAGATGTAGTACGTCCGAATTCCATTCATACTTTTCACATTCATACTGTATAGAGCGTACTTTTTTATGGCCGATTAGTTCGTTTAAATTGAAATGCAGTATCTACTTAGTAGGTGGTTTTGGACACAGCCATGGAGTGTTGGTGGTCCTCCAGGAACATTCAATATAGCTTTCAATTCAGCTTTATTTGTATAGCGCTTTTACAATGTAGATTGTGTCAAAGCAGCTTCACATAAATGGTCATAGTAACTGGAACAGTGTGGTTCAGGTTTTAGTGTTCTAGTGTTTTTGTTAGTTCAGTTCAGTTTAGCTCAGTTCAGTGTGATTTAATCATTACTGAGAGTTCAAACACTGAAGAGCCAACCGATGACGGGTGGTGTAAGGTGCCAACGGCTCTTTTTTAAAATCGTACATTTTCGTACAAATTCGTACGAATTTGCCACTAAACTGACAATACGTAAAATACTTACGTTTTCTCGTGAGATCAGGCTGGTTTATCACAAGGTATTTGTACTGTAATATACAACACCAATCCAGACAATATATCACTTTAACCCTTTAAACTGGCATAATTATTATTTTTTTAATTGCTTTTTACTCGTTATCAAAGTTGTGTCAGCATATTATTCAATTCCAAAAAATTTCTTTTCAAGGAGTGCACCTTAAAGGATTTAAATATAAAAGCCTTATTTATTAGGTTTTCCCAGAGATGGGTTGCGGCTGGAAGGGCATCCGCTGCGTACAAACGTGCTGGATAAGTTGATGGTTCATTCCGCTGTGGCGACCCCAGATTAATAAATGGACTAAGCCAACAAGAAAATTAATGAATTTGTTAGATTAATTAATCCTAGTAATAAAAGTCACTTTTTCCAACTTTTTAAAGTTAAAAGGTGGTGCGCGAAAGATCAAGGTACCATAATTCAATTCAAAAGTCTAAATAATTGGGGAAAACAAATAAAACACTTGACACTTCTTCTCAATTTGTTAGTCAAAATAACTAGATGTGAAGATGTGAGAAGGTTAAATTCCCTTTTTTGGTGACACAAAACCAAAGTTCTACATTTATAAAATCCGATAAAGTAATATATAGTGGAATTATTCTCGTCACTTTAACCATTTGTCATTTTTGGCTACCAAAAAACTGCATAAATAAAATGATATATCTTTGTAAATTAGGACGAAATGTTATCAGATCTTCGGAATAAATGTTATCAGTTCCTAACAATTCTACAATTCTGAGAATTGTCAAGTGGTCTCTCAGGCCACGTTTACACTGTCAGGTCTTGATGCCCAATTCCGATTTGTTGCCAATATCTGATTTTTTTGCTTGTCAGTTTACACGTTCTTTTAATTGTAACCCATATCCGATTTGATTGTAAACCGCCACACTAGCCACGATGGAATAAATTGTCTTGCTTTTAGCTCTGCGAAATATGAGAAGTTCGCCTAAGTTTAAAATGATTTTGAAGAGGAGGGAAAGGGTCATCATCGCAGCTTCCGCCTATGGTTTGTATATGGTGTCCTCCACCATTCAGAGGAATTTGTGGGTACGAGAGAGATCTCGGGTCTGGTGGGAGCAAATTGTGGTGACTGACCACTTTCCTCCTCGATGTTTCCTCTGTTGTTGTTGTTGTTTACCACTTCGTCATCTCCACACAACGCTCTTCCTTCTACGTCATTAAACCGCGGAGAAGTACCACATTGTTGCAAGTTTAATGACAAAACAGAATGCCTCAAATCTGATCTGCCTGCTCACATGATAGTCGCATTGTCAAATATCTGATTTATTGCTGATTTATTCCCACATATGAAGGAGGCCTGAAACCGATCTCTAAATATCCAAATACATGCGTTTTTTTTTTTTTTTTTTAGTTTACACGGTCATTGAACAGATCCGATCTGTGTCACATATAAACAAAAAATCAGAATTGAGTCACATTTAACTGGCAATGTAAACAAGAGCCATCTTGGTGTGGCGCAGATGCTAGAACCTGCCTTTACACATATGCAAAGTCGTAAATTGTACGTCATGTGTAAACACATAAATCGGATATGGGTCACACAATTAAAAAAACACGTAAACGGACAGGCAAACAAATCGAAATTGGGCATCAAGACCTGACAGTGTAAACAGGGCCTTATTGCACAATTCTAATATCATCAGTATATACTGTATACATAATTTTTCAAATTAAAACCTGGCTCCATTATGTTGCTCTCTGTGTGAAATGTCACCAGGATGTGTTTTTGAAAGATTCGCTTGTTTTTTTTTTTTTTTCTCTAAATGTGATTAAATCTTCACCACAGGAAACCTTAGTGCAGTCTTAACTGATTTTGAAAGTGTGCTCGGTCAAATAATATGCCTCTTATCAAAGAGGAACTTGAAGAGGTTCCTGTTACAAAACTATTTTGGTTAGACATTTGTGTTTTATGTCAAAAAAAAAGTTAACAAAAAGAATAATATGGATTTGAAACAGGTATGCAAGAATAATACCAAAGAATACTGTAAACATTGTTCGGTTCGTTTTTTTTATTCGTTCCTTTGACAAAGATTATTTAAAAGGGAAATCTCAACCTTTTTTTCAGTCTTCGTAAAAATCTGTAGTTCGTTTTGGACCAATGCAGTTTCCTTAAGTCTGTAACCTTGACATCACCTTCACTAAATTTTGCATTAAGTTTACA